TTTAGTAGTTTCATTAGTTAATTATATATTTAAATCATTGTGTAAGAATACAAGTGATACCACTCTTATTGTTTGACTGTTGAAAACATGTCAGGAATGTGGTCGTACTTCAGACATTCTCCATCAGGTGCCGGGTATCGAAAAGTCCATTTAGTATCGTTATTTATCACTTATTATCGCTTCGTTCGACAGTGTTTTTAAGAAATTCTTACAAAATCATGTCTCTTAAATGATGTGTGCATAATTGAAAAGGTAATTATTATCCAAAGAAACAAATAGTAAATGTATTTAAGGCACCAAAAGATTTGGAATTGTTTTAAAAATGGAAACGTGCGATACTGTGTGCAGATCGAGAACTAATGTAAATTTCACTAATTATATTGAAATGAACACAAATTAGAGTTCAATTAGCAATTGTTGCTAGTGGTAATCAATGGTAAAAATTGAACTATTACATCTCGTGGATACTCGAGTAAGCTCAATCACTTCGCTAACGTTCTTAATTAAATGGAGAGTGGTATCACCTATGTTCTTACACTATGATTTAAATTATAGTTTTATACAGGCTACCATATGATATACACTAATGCATGACAGAGTTACCAGATACTTTGGGATAAAATCCATAGCAAAATGAATTCTTCTCGAAAGATACCGGGACGTTTCAATTTCAGGACATGCAATACGTGTATTTTTACTCTGCCAGTGACAGAAATACATTTACAACACGAAAAAAAAATACTTTATTGTACGAACAGTTTTTAGAATAAATTCTTCCTGTCGTTAGCTGGCAGTCGGAAAAAATCCGGGAAAATCCCGGAAAACTGGGACATCTGGCAATACTATGATGTGGTAAAGATACTTTAGGAATTGATTAATATTCAACTCGTTTATGAATATTCTTAGTTGATTTTCATGTGATTAGATTAGTCCCATTTATTTCTTAATTCTCTATTCCATGTTGCTGATATTTCAGTTTGCTTTATTCTCTTATTGAAATANGTCGGAAAAAATCCGGGACAATCCCGGAAAACAATACTATGATGTAGTAAAGATACTTTAGGAATTGATTAACATTTAACTCGTTTATGAATATTCTTAATTGATTTTCATGTGATTAGATTAGTCCCATTTATTTATTAATTCTCTATTCCATGTTGCTGATATTTCAGTTTGCTTTATTCTCTTATTGAAATAAAATAATTTACTCTTTGAAATAATTTAATTCGCGAACTATTAAATTCTGATCTCGATATTTGTTCAACTTTATCTTGCCTTTATTTAATGATCAGAATATTAAAAATGTTGCGGTCGAAGTTTTCATCTGTAAAACGTGAACATTTATAAATTATTAAGTATTGGTGTATTAAATATTAATATCCTTAACTAATTCTTTACTAAGTTACGTAATAAGATATTGTAACATCGTCACAAATCCAAAATTGTCTTCAATTTCGCGAAAACTTACAATAAATATTTAGAATTTATTGCATGTTATGATTGAAGTTAAATGTATCTAATTCAATTATTATTTATTATACAGTTACATGAATTATAAGTTATAAATAATAAATGTTTTTAATTTAATTTGTATTGTCAATAGATTTTTAATTTAATGTTTTGTAAGTANTTATTATACTGTACTGTATATTAGTATTTCTTAATGTTTCTTTCACTATTACTTTTATTGCAAAATAAGAGCATTTATTAACCTGTCAAATAATTTCAATACAGTGGAGCGTATGGGCAAAAAGGGCAATTGTCTGGGGCCTCTACCAACAGAGATTTAAACTAATCTCTGTATTCCACATATTCAATTTTCACTCAAAAGTTGCATGTACTGTATATATATATCAATCATAACATTCATTTGTATAGAAATAATGTTTTTTAATGACACTTTTTTTATTTGCACTACAAAAATGAAGTATACGTTTATAATTAAATACATATATGTTATTTATATATTAATTAAAAACGTGTTATCTTTTTTATAGCTATATCGCCATTATACAGAGAATGTCGTTGTCCAAGTGGTTTGACAGGAAGCGGAGTTGGACCAAATGGTTGCATAACTGCTACTGGTACAGCTTGTGAAGCTAATCCATGTTTACACGGAAGTTGTCAAGTAAACATTTAATTTAAAATTATTAATATATTTTTCTACCAGTTATTCTTTAAAAACGTTATATCTATAAATTTAACTCTTTTTTTCAGGTTAGCGGAAATAATTATATATGTATATGCTCTCCTGGCTATACAGGAACTTTATGTGAGACTCCTACAAATCCATGTGACAGTAATCCATGTAGGAATGGAGGCACTTGTATAAATCAGCAAACTTCGTTTACCTGTCAATGCTCAAGCGAGTGGCAAGGATCGTTATGTGAAGAAGCTTCACAGAGTATGTATCTCATTTTAGCATTTTATTTCATATTAGATTATGAGTTTATTTATTTTTATGATTTCTGTATGGATATAGAAGCTGGTAAGTAAAATAAAATTGTAAAACCAAGTCCCAAAATTTAAATGTTATGCATTATTGGCTTTAGTGGGATACCTTGTAAAGGAGTCGTATTGTTTGTTTCTGCCTTTTACTTTGTATTTTCTACTTTTCCTGGTAAAGTTAGTTTGTAATTCATTTTAGTTCAAGCTTTCCATGAATAATCAATATAGCAGCTAATATGTTTTTACATGAAACATTTAAAAATGAAACCATGGCAAGTAAATAGTGCAGTAGATAATTTAAACTTTCATTAGGAAAGTTGATGAATTGTTGATTACAGCGATGAAGAAGAATATGATTTGGACAAGAATGATATCGAAGGGAGAAAGAAAAGAAACAAAAAACAAGTGCTCTAACATTGTGCAGATCTACAATGAATTTATGGGTGGAATGGACCTCATAGACAAGAAAAAGGGACTTTTCAAACGGACAGAGAATCTAAAATAAAGTATTATTTTAAATTTGATTTTATTTCGACTTTTCAATGATGTTCTTGATATTTATGTGAACAATGTCTTCATTGTTTAGTAAATACTCAAGTTGAATTCAAAACTGAAGTCCATTGACTTCAGGAGATCTCTTGCATGAGGTCTTATCCTTTTCAAAGAACCTTTTCAAAAAAGAAGCATGCTCTCTGCACTTATGCTTCAAAAATGGAAGGGAGAAGATCGACAGGAATAGAGTAATCACTTACCAAACACAACATGCATGGAAAAAATCCTTCAAACAATGTGCCCAAAGAAACATTAACAACAGCACAAATGTCATCTGCATGACTTGCCAAGTTCATGTGTGTCCAATGAGTAACAAAGACTACTTCAAGCTATACATAAAAACTATTATGTGGGTTTTTTTTTAAAATAAAAGACTTTCTAAGTCATTAATCCAACTGCTGGTATGTATCTTCAAGCTATATGCTTTTGTACCATTGACACAGATTAAGACACATTTGTCCCGTGCCTTATTTTTTTTAAATGTATATTTACTGTACGTAGAAAATTGAACTACATAGACTATATTTAACTTACTCTTTAAAAAAAAGTTCAAATTTTTTCATTATTTACAATTCTTCCTCAAAGGATTAATCGAAGACCTTGGAACAAGAACATGTTAATTCATTTTTTCAAGTTTCTGTGAAAATTATTTTGAAGCTCTGAATTTCCCTGTATTTAGACAGGTTACAGGTGATTAATTATACAAAGGTTGATAGACTAGTCTATGAGAAACTGAGTCATGAATCTGGAAAACATACTTGTCCTATGTGTATAGAGATTTAATAAATAAACTTCAGTTGACATGCTCTTGTTCCAAGGCGGTTTAAAGAATAAATTCCTTATTTACTATGAATAGTATTCATTAGTTATTATGAAAGCTGTTAAACTTGATTCATGTAAAAAATTCATTCTCTCATTTTTCGTATAAAACTGCATTCTAAACTTTACGAAATGCTAGCTAACATATAGTTATCTTATATAAATTTATATTAACGTTGTGTTAATAAATCTATGTCAAGAATTTCAATATTTGAATACATGAAAAATAGTATTTATTCTATTATTTAAGCTACAAACAATTTTCTATTAAAAATTCATGATCTTGATTACAGTCCCTACAGAATTCTCTGTATTTGTGTATAGAAATCTATTGGATTGCTTACAAATATCGGTTGACTGATTACCTTTTGAAGAGAAAAATTGCAATTGTACAGATGGATTATATAGTCATATATATTCCCCAAATGCAAAACAATTATTATGCAGGATTGTACGGATTAACAAGATTACTGTATTTGTAAAACAAAGAAAGTTAAAAAAAACTTAGTTTATAGCTTTAAGACCCTGTACACACTAGGCGTTTTTCAACGCGCGTTTAAAAAAACCAAGAGTTCTATGTAGCCGTACACACTCAAAAGCCAAGCGCGCGTTAAACGCGCGCTTTGCGAGCGCTTAGAGTTATATGTGCTGCCATGTTACCGTACATGCGATCGCGCGTTTTGCGGGCGTCAGCCGAGCGCTTTGAGATATATGTGCTGAAATGGAGAACGATCATTTCGATACTGATCTATTTATTGATGAAATCTAAAAGAGACCAACCATCGTCAAAGGATTTTATAGATATTTTAAAAGAATTAAAAAACTTTAAATTTATTTTGTCTTAGTTTTGGATACAACGTCGCAAACATTTCATGCGTCAGTCTATCTCGTAATATTGGGTGCACCCAAAATTCTCTTTGCCTCCGCCGTCGTCTTTTATTGCGACGATAGAGGAACCACACACAAGCAATCACTTCCACATCCATTTCCAAACCGAGCCAGTGCGCACGCTCCGCTAAACGCTCGTAAAACGCCGAGCTAACGCGCGTTTGCTCGGCGTTCGACGAGCGTTTAACGCGCGTTGAAAAACGCCTAGTGTGTACAGGGCCTAAAAATTCGTTTATACATGTATTTTGGTACATTTTGGTTACTTTTATACATTTGTATTTATTAGCCTATACATGTGTATGTTAAGATCTATAGTATATATTAATTTCACAAGTTTGTTATGTTTTTAAAAGATAGACTATGATTTCTTCTTATTTTCGGCTGCAGCATTTAGTGGAAAAAATGAATAAAATTGTTTCGGATCAGAGAGAGTGAACTGCAACTAAAGATAAAACATAACGTAATTTTGTCCTATTGTAATTTTTCTTTAATTCCAAAAGCAGGAATTTATAGCAGCCGACTATTTCAGTTGATCGGCAAGTCACTTTGCCAACTCTTCAATGGAAATTGTCGATATTGGGAGGGCGAGACGAATCTCAATTTCTTGTAACTTTCTGTTGTTGACGTTTCATTGGAAAGTGATAACAGTAGTGTTCCTTGCATGTCAGGGTAGAGTTATTGAGATATCTCGCGAAAGATCACAAGTAGACATGGCTTACCAGTGACCAATCGGTCTTCGTACCCTGAACACTGGGAGTTCGGTCATGGGTTCCGGACGGGCTGACCACGTGGAGTTTTCCGGGTTTTCTCCATGTCTATAACGCCTAAATAGGGGCCAGTTTCTCTTGCCTAGGAGATGCCTTCCGGGAGGTCTTTTTGACCTCCCGGAAGGCATCTCCTAGGCAGATCGCCCAAGTGTTGCGTTGCCATAACTAAACAAACACAAATAGACAATCTGTTCCTTTTGACTATTTTACTCCTACGGACATAATCTACAGCTCTAATAAGGTCCCAACCGCCTCATTCAGAGCTAGAATCTTACTAGTTATTGCTCTTGCATTGCGTAATCATATTGTTTATCGTCCAACCCGAGACTATTTTTAAGAGATCTTATTGATCTAAAAAAAAATATATATATATATATAGTGTATGCTTTTATCATCATATAAATAGATTCACGTACTGTATACCTGTGCCATGGGTGACTTCTCTGGAGAATCTGTGTGTCATTATCGTTCATTTAAAGAAAAAGGAAAAATTATATATAACAAACCAAACTACTTCTTTACTGGAGTTCAATTTCTTAACAAGTTTGTTTCAAATACATTTAGATTAGTACTCAAGTAACTTGTATTCTTTTCACATTAGCGAGGTTGAGGCCGAAGTTTTAAACGCGAAAACGTGTACATCGGACGTTCAGCGCCGTTTTCCCGTAAGCCTAGAAGTTTGATAATGGTGTTTGGAATGTCGAGCATGATTCCACTGACCATCCAAACACCATTGTCAAACTTCTAGGCTTACAGGAAAGCGGCGCTGAACGTCCGACGTACACGTTTCCGCGTTTAAAACTTCGGTCTCAATCTTGCTATTAATTCTGAAGAATTATACAATAATTATTGTCGAAAATTCTTCTAGATTCTTTATCAGTCAAACTTGTCAAATTGGAGGATATATATATGAGTATAGTAGTCTACTTCATAAAATTTCAACGTCATAAGTGAATTTTAAATTTCTTTTTAATAATAAAAATTTGGAATTCAATTCAAAAGTTCTGCTTTTCCTATTACTATTCATCTTTACTCCTGACAATACACAAGAACGATTCAAACAACACAGATAAAATAGTTTTGTTTTTAAACACCAGAGAGCGAGCACCCGGTAAAAACTGAGAAGATGCGGTTGATAAAAATTAATGCAAAAACTTTCCGTTCAATCAAATGTAATCTTTATTTATTAATCATGGAATCTGAGAAGTATTTGGAAGCAACGAAGTCTAACAAGTAATAGAAAGGTTGTAATATCCACGATTCGGATGAAAAAGGAACCTCTTGCCAAGCATAAAAGCAGTACACGTGTAGGATCTGGCAGGAATGTTTAAGATGCTGAAGGCAATGGTGTAGGTATAATTCAAGCTCTGAATGAGACGGTTGATACCTTATCAGAGCTGAAGAGCATACCCATAAAAGTGAAGTTGTTATTTATATTAAAATATGTATTAATATATAATAAGAGTAAAGAAGAATTGTATACTGGCACAATGAAGTGACTTTTCTTCAACACTAGGCAAGAATATAATTGTTTTATGTTGAAATAATTGTGTAGTAAAGTTTTGAATGTTAAGAAGTTGAGTTTTATACTATATAAAATTACATAATTAATCGTTTTAGGTTGTGGAGGAACTTTTCATCAAGAAATTGGAAGTATTCTGTATCCAACTGGTCCTCTGGATGAATATCCACATTCAAAAGATTGTATTTGGAGATTATCTACAATACCAGGAAAAGTAACTCTGCTTTCTTTTCATTATTTTCAATTTTATTTGTAATACAGTCTATTTGCAAATTACCATAAATCCAATAAAAGTACACGTACCTCTCTGCCTTTTACTGGTGTGCTCCTTCCAACCAAATAATAAAGTAATTACTTTATTACTTGGTTGGAAGGAGCACATGGGTAAAAGGCAGAGAGGTACGTATATTATAAATACTCTTGTGTAGAAATTTCTAATTTCTACGCAAGAGGGCGAATAAAAGTATTTGAATTTATAAAAAAAAAAAGAAATACTTTAATTTTAGAATTTAGTTTAATTCTTAACTAAAACATTTCAGATATTTTGTTTCTGTTGCTAACTTGTTTCCTGTTTAACAGAGTAAACAGAAAATAAAAAATCAAAATTTTGAAGAATTTTAATATGATAATATTTTAAAATTCTACATGATTACACATAAAATTTTCTGATGATGTTTTAAACTATGACATCGTATAAATTGTGTAATTTGAAATATCTATACACATTTTTGTCATATTTTGATCCCCTAAAGTATATTAAACCTCTAATGAATTTTATATACAGTATGTTTATTAATTTTCAGAAATAAAAATATTTTGAAATGATATCTGTATATTATGATGTAGTTTTAATTATGATAAATTAATTTTTGAAATAGTAAATTGAAAATTCCTGTTATACATAAGAGAAACATTTTATTTGATCAATTGTTTACAACAATTTTTAAAATTTTTCTCATGAAAGCTTTCTTACTATATAATACTGTATTGATTAATTTCTCTAGGAGTTAGACAAAGTTCATTTATAGTCTGTATCGTTAGACAATGTAAGGATACATAGGCTTTGGACTGTTCTGATGCTTATTTGTCCTTAAATTTGCACCAGAGTCCCTTCTACATTCTCATTCTCTCTACTATCACCATTTTCTTATATTTCTCTGTCAGTGTGATGGTCTGAAATGTGAATATCATGTTTCTCATTCATGTCACAGCTTTCATCCTTTTCACTTCTTTCACAAAATTCTTCTGTGCCTAGAGATAGAAAATGACTAAGGATATATAAACATCTCAAAATAACACTTGTACACAAGCTTAAAACTTGCAAATAATAAACATTGCACTAGAATTACATTATCATGCTTTAGTTCCTATAGAAACCACTACTTGGTGTCCATATGCAGCTTCAACTACAAATGACTGAGTGACATCAGAGTGCTGGATATTTTCCTTGAGTGGAAAATATGAATGAAAATATGAAAGAAAGGAACACTGGTTCCTTTCATATTTTCTTCCTTGGAAAAACTACACAAACAGTGAATGATATGGACACCAGGAGGATGTTCAGAAGTATTTCCAGAAAAGGTACTGAAGTGCTCGAAAAAATTTGAACTTATGTTTGTACAGTATTCCTGGGCTGGAGGGCATTATTGGATATTTAATTTTTACATCATATTTAATTTGCTATTTACATCCAATACAAACGTGACATTTGACAGGCAATTGGACATTTATTTTATATTTTAAATTACTACATTCTATCATACATTCTATTCTGTTATATGTTTCCAAATAAGTTCTTTAACTTGAGGATGATTGCTAAAAGCAATTGAAAATGTTTATTTTTTCCACTGTTGTTTCATGAGCTGGACTTTTAATTGTGTAAGTGTTTTTGAATATTATCTGGTATTTAGTGCATTTATTACTTAAGACTATTCTTTCAATAATGTTACAAAAGGAGGAAAAATCTTTAACTGCCAAGGTTAACTGTAACATTCACAAAGTGTATAACTCACATACGGTAGTCTTGTGTATGATGGATTCCTGATGTTGTCAAGAGTTTGAAGAATATCAACCACAGATTTGGCTTCTACAACTAAACCTCAGATTCATGAATGTTCTAACAAATGATGACATTTTACTAATTTTCAGATGTCTGATTTGAGCTTGGAACAAAATCCTTGGAGATATAATGCTATGCTCAGTCCTTCTAATAGGTTCATATGAGATTTGTTTCAAAGGTGGTTTTTGATTCTTCTTCTTTTCAGTTTAACTTACTATTTTGCATGATGTGATCACCTCACCTCTATTTGCTGAATACTTTGTGAGAAAGGTACTTATCATTTTTATCATGAAGTATTCAAATTATTAATTTGTATTGGGTATGATTCACTCCCTCAGTCTTGATGGAGTTTACATTCTGTCTTTTGAGTCAATTCAGACATATTAAGATAATACCCCAGGTTTGTAGAAGTGATTCAAAAAGAAAAAAAAAAGAAAGTTAGCTTACCAACACACAAATTAAATATAATTAGTAGATTCAATTTCTTTCTTGTTTTATCCTAATATCACCAATACTAGTCATTATTTTATTTTTTTTGATCTTTAGCAATAATATTACTTTTTTACTTCTTACCTTGACTTTCTAAATTGTTTATTAACTATCCTAAAATATACTTTATACAGTTTTATTAACTGTATAGAATAAAAGTATTGATTACTATTTTTAAATATACTTAACCTTTTCTTTAAAATTTGTATTTAAATTTAAAGGAATAAACATATTTTAGAAGTTATTAATTTAATATTTTTTCTTTTAGGTTTTTAATGTGACATTTAACAGATTTAATATTGAATACTCACCAGATTGTTCTTATGATTTCTTACAAATAAATGATGGTCCTTCTGCAATTGACAATGTTATAGGCAGATTCTGTGGTAATGTTGCACCAAAAAATGGAAATATAATAAGTACACATAATTTTCTCTACATGCAATTTCATTCAGATCGTGATGTATCAGCTGATGGTTTTAATTTAACTTGGACTACTACTGATCCAGGTAATATCTGTGCAATATGTAAAAAATTTATATAAAAGTATTATTATATGAAAAAAGAAAGATTATTATATTAGAATTTCATTTCTGAAGATTTAGAAACTACAGTATAAATGTGGAAAGTTCAACACATTTTTTATATTCATTATATTATTTCATATAATATTGAGGATATTAAGAAATTTAATATTTATCTTATAAATGAGCATAACATCTTTAGCAGCGTGTAAAATGTTTGATTGTGACATTGTTTTTACCCAGTTAATGGGCCATCTTCAGTATTCCCATTAACTGGTTAAAATGGAACTAAAATGGAATAGTAATGGTATAGCACAATTAGTTGAGTAGACTCATGTAAACAATTCAGAGAAGATAAGCTATGATGAAAGTGGTTAATGCAATAAATTTAACAGAAACTTTTAGGCAATAGGAAAGGGTTTGTGTCCCTGATGTTTAGACACGTAGAAAATAAATGATGCAACAGCATGAAGATTCCATGAAGATGCAATAGAATAGAAGTGCATGAAGATTTCACACTTTATTCTATTGGTGTGGAAAAGCTGGGAGATATATCTGATAATTGTAGCAACTTGCTAATGTGCTCTAGCTCCAGAAAGTTGAATGAATAATGATAATACTATATTATCTCCTTTTCTTTTATTATTATCCTCATGCTTGGATAGCCTCTTGTTGAGATATCTTGCCATATAACTAATGTAAACAGTGTTAATATTGAAAACCTTATTTTTGCCTGGGATAATGTATACCACACTTTTCCAGTTGTCATCCAAGAGGTTTGAATCATTGTGTAAAAGTTGATAAACTAATAATATAAAAATATACAGTATCATTTTTAATTTTCATGAATTTAATATATTCAATCTTATTCAATTCATCTCAGTAAAGTAAATGACTACAACTTTGAGATTTAGAAATATTTACATAATATATCAACAAATTTATCATTTTAGGTTATCATCATTATGAAAATATATTTTTATTTTTCTAAAATTCATTGACAATGTCAAAAATCAATTATAGTTTTTTTAAAAATCTAAACTGTATTATAAATAATATTTTTCTGAAGACTCTATAGAGATTTTTTTAAATTTTGAATGATTTTTCATGATAGTTTTATAATTTTTGATTTAAAATTCAATGTATTAACATGAACAGTCAATCTGACATTATACAGTATTTTTTTGTTTTGAAATTGAAACATTTTATATATGAAAAAATTTACTTCTATTATGATCTTAATCTAAAAAATTATTAGTATATTTTTTAAAGTACAATTTTAGATGAAAACTAAATTTATATACCTCCATATTTCGAAACCGTGTTGTATCTTTATATTTGTTTAAAAAACTGCAATGTAGCACAGTAATCAACACATGGCATAACTCATTCATTTATTCAAGCTTTTGTTGATCTGTTTAAAAACTGCAATGTAGCACAGTAATCAACACATGGCATAACTCATTCATTTATTCCAGCTTTTTGTTGAGACGCATTTCTACACATGTTTCGGGCTCTGTTTTTGCCCCTCCTCAGTCAACTAAAACATATAAAAACTAATTATATACATATTATAACCCGACTTATGAATTAAAAGATAACAAAAATAAAAGTATATTTCGTTGGTATATACAAGTAAGACGTAACATACCGTTTTTCAAATGAATTCCCTCTCTGGATGTATTTTTTCGAACGGGAATCATACTCTATATACTTGATTATTTCAGATACCAGGTTGAAGATTTAATCTTACTTCTTTACGCTTCAGATGCAGACTGTCTTATTTAAACTTTACTATACTTTGAAGACCATAAAAAACAACACAATTAATGTACTCAACATTTAGGTATTAATAATATACAGGATTTTTCTTACATACTCAGTCACAGTAGAGTTCTTGAGGTGTCGTAAAGGATTATAATGGACATGTGGCAGAGTTCTTCTTTTTCCGTACGTTTTTTATAATTCTTCTGTCCTTATCCTCTTTGTATCTCATTCGTTAGTGTTGAAATATTAATACTATTTTATGTACAATTAATATTAAGCTTTCTTTCTATTAATAGTTTACTATTATTACATAAAGGTAAATAATTCTTACCTAAACGAATTTGCCACACTTCGCAGATTTTAATTGCGCTATTCTTTCACGGTTGTTTATATTACCATGCTTTCCTCTGAAAAATTTTTCGTATAAAAATTCCCCAGAAGAACCTAGTTTTTAGTTGAACCTGAGTATTAGACTACATTCTAAATTTATCCTTACATACTTGTTTACTTAGGTTTTCTTAAGTATCTGGAAGGACTTCTAATGAGCTTCCAGCACATTTTTTCTTCTTTAATATTAATATCGATACTAATTCATATAAATTTTATATTATTAAACTTGTCATTTTTATTAACTCTCTGTCTTTATGTATTATTATTAATAATCCTTACCGAAGTAACTAGACCTCACTTTCTTAATTCCGTTCTTTCAACTCCTCGATTCTAGAGGCGTTTCTATTTTATGATGATTTGCAAAACAACGTGTTTCTGGTAGGCAAGATTTAATTATGTTTTGTATTTCTTTTAAAATACACTCCAAAAGTATTTTGAATTTTTTCCTTTTTATTTTCCAAAAATTCTCCTTTTTTTTCAAATAATTTTTCTTTCCAAATTCTTTTACAGTATTTTTAGCCAATTCTCGTTAATTTTTAAACTTAAGTTTTTATTTATACAATGTTTATTTTTTATAATTTCTATACTCTCTTTAAATTTTCTGTGATNATACTTTATACAGTTTTATTAACTGTATAGAATAAAAGTATTGATTACTATTTTTAAATATACTTAACTTTTTCTTTAAAATTTGTATTTAAATTTAAAGGAATAAACATATTTTAGAAGTTATTAATTTAATATTTTTTCTTTTAGGTTTTTAATGTGACATTTAACAGATTTAATATTGAATACTCACCAGATTGTTCTTATGATTTCTTACAAATAAATGATGGTCCTTCTGCAATTGACAATGCTATAGGCAGATTCTGTGGTAATGTTGCACCAAAAAATGGAAATATAATAAGTACGCATAATTTTCTCTACATGCTATTTCATTCAGATGGTGATACAGCAGCTGATGGTTTTAATTTAACTTGGACAACTACTGATCCAGGTAATATCTGTGCAATATGTAAAAAAATTTATATAAAAATATTATTATACGAAAAAAGAAAGATTATTATATTAGAATTTAATTTCTGAAGATTTAGAAACTACAGTATAAATGTGAAAAGTTCAACACATTTTTTATATTCATTATATCAATATTATTTCATATAATATTGAGGATATTAAGAAATTTAATATTTATCTTATAAATGAGCATAACATCTTTAGTAGTGTGTAAAATGTTTGATTGTGACATTGTTTTTACCCAGTTAATGGGCCATCTTCAGTATTCCCATTAACTGGTTAAAATGGAACTAAAATGGGATAGTAATGGTATAGCACAATTAGTTGAGTAGACTCATGTAAACAATTCAGAGAAGATAAGCTATGATGAAAGTGGTTAATGCAATAAATTTAACAGAAACTTTTAGGCAATGGGAAAGGGTTTGTGTCCCTGATGTTTAGACACATAGAAAATAAATGATACAACAGCATGAAGATTTTACACTTTATTCTATTGGTGTGGAAAAGCTGTAATTTTTTATTTAAAAGTCAATGTATTAACATGAACAGTCTGACGTTATACAGTATTTTTTTTTTTTTGAAATTGAAACATTTCATATATGAAAAAATTTACTTTTATTATGGTCTTAATCTAAAAAATTATTAGTATATTTTTTAAAGTACAATTTTAGATGAAAACTAAATTTATATACCTCCATATTTCGAAACCGTGTTGTATCTTTATATTTGTTTAAAAAACTGCAATGTAGCACAGTAATCAACACATGGCATAACTCATTCATTTATTCCAGCTTTTTGTTGAGACGCATTTCTACACATGTTTCGGGCTCTGTTTTTGCCCCTCCTCAGTCAACTAAAACATATAAAAACTAATTATATACATATTATAACCCGACATATGAATTAAAAAACGACAAAAATAAAAGTATATTTCGTTGGTATATACAAGTAAGACATAACATACCATTTTCTAAGTAAATTCCTTCTCTGGATGTATTTTTTTCCTTGAACGGGAATCATACTCTATATACTTGATTATTTCAGATACTAGGTTGAAGATTTAATCTTACTTCTTCATGCTTCAGACACAGATTGTCTTATTTAAACTCTACTATACTTTGAAGACTATAAAAACAACACAATTAGTGTACTTAACATGTAGGTATTAACAATATACAGGATTTTTTCTTACGTACTTAGTCACAGTAGAGTTCTTGAGGTGTCACAAAGGATTACAATGGACATATGGCAGAGTTCTTCTTTTTCCGTATGTTCCCTATAATTCTCCTGTCCTTATCCTCTTTGTATCTAATGAGCTTCTATCACATTTTTTCTTCTTTAGTATTTATATCGATACGAAGTAACTAGACTTCACTTTCTTAATTTTGTTCTTTCAACTCTTCGATTCTAGAGGCGTTTCATTCTATGATGATTTACATAATCATATGGTTTCTGGTAGGCAAGTTTTAATTATGTTTCGTATTTCTTTTAAATAGTACTCTAAAAGTATTTTGAATTTTTTCCTTTTTATTTTCCAAAAATTCTCCTTTTTTTCAAATAATTTTTCTTTCCAAATTCTTTTACAGTATTTTTAGCCAATTCTCGTTAATTTTTAAACTTAAGTTTTTATTTATACAATGTTTATTTTTTATAATTTCTATACTCTCTTTAAATTTTCTGTGATAAGTTTCTTTTTCTTTATGTAGGATTTTTACATTATTTTGGTCAATATTACAATTATTCAACGTGCAATGTTCGAGAAAGGCTGAATTAATTCTATTATGTTTTAGATCTGCTACGTGTTCTTTTAATCTAACTTCCATTTTTCTCTTTGTTTCTCCTATGTAATATTTTTTATTTTCACATGTACATGGAATTTGGTATACTACGTTTTTTGTATCTTTCACTTGTTGTTTTCCTGTTGACCTAGTTGTATTATTATTATTTAGTCTGGCAAAAAAATTTTTATATTTCGGGGCGAGTTTTACATTAGTATGTCTTATTTCTTTATTAATTTTTTCATATAGACCTTTAATATAAGGAAATGGAATATATTTCATTTTATTTTCATTTGAAATCTTTCCATTATCTATTTCATTCTTTTCAGGATTCTTTTTATTATTTACGTTGTTGATTTTTTCTTCCCAGTTTGTAAGTAACCTGTTGGGGTATCCATTTAACAAGAATTTTTTCTTTAAACTTTTAATATCATTATCTATGTCCATACATTTACTAGTTCTATTTTTTATCTTATTATATTCCATAGAAAATATATTTTGCTTTATATATAGTGGTATATTTGAGTTATATTTCACTGTTGTTTGCATTGAACATGACTTTTTGAAAGTCTTAAATTCGAGTTCATTCTTTTTTCTTATTATTGTAATATCTAAGTAATTTTTCTCTTGATTAATTTCTGTTTCTGTTGTAAATTGTATCGTTTTGGTTATTTTGTTTATTACGTCTTTTATTTGTTCTAATGTAACTTGCATTTCCTTATACAAAACAAAAATATCATCTACATATCTCCTACAAAAGTGTATTCCTGGTATTTTACTAATATAATCGTCTATATCCATCATCACAAGTTCGGCTAGCTTTGGACCAATCACAGAGCCCATACTGATGCCTTCTGTTTGTGTAAAGTATCTTCCCTTAATTTCAAAATAATTGCTTCTATATGCAAACTCTATTAGATCTATAACTTCTGGTTCTATATTTATCTGTGTTAGTTTTCCCAGGTTATTGATGGATACATGTTAACAATGTCGAGACTGGACATTCTCAGCGTTTCATCGACATTTAAGTTTTTTACATCACTTATAAATTCATCCGTGTTACGTATAGCAATTTTGGAATTTTTGTACTTTTGCAAATGATTTTTTAAAAATTTTTCCAAATTGTACAATGTAGAGTATTTAAAGTCAATAATAGGCCTTATCTTGTGTGTACGTGTGTAGAAACGCGTCTCAACAATGTGAAACGTGTGTAGAAATGCGTCTCAACAATGTGAAACGTGTGTAGAAACGCGTCTCAACAAAAAGCTGGAATAAATGAATGAGTTATGCCATGTGTTGATTACTGTGCTACATTGCAGTTTTTAAACAGATCAACAAAAGCTGGAATAAATGAATGAGTTATGCCATGTGTTGATTACTGTGCTACATTGCAGTTTTTTAAACAAATAAATTTATATAGTTTTTAAAGATCATTTTAGATACAAAAACAATTGTGTTATAGAGTAAAGATAGTAAATTGCTAGCTTTATGTAGTTTTTTTCTAAAAAATAAAAACAATTATTGAAGAAAATGTCTTAAAATGTAAAAATGATTTTCAAAAATACACTGGACGACAAAAAAAATAACGCACCATGAAGGACTTGTTAGATCTGAATAAAAATTGATATGTTGCATCATCTTAGCTAGATATGTAAATGATTAGCTTTTGAGAGTAGGTTCTTATGTTATATCGCCACCAGAGGGGAAAAAATGTTTCCGCTGCCTGGTATAAAGGTGCACGCTGTGACGACTTGTGCATATGTTCTGCACTTTTATTCATGGTTTTGACTTCATTGAGTGACAGACATGCCTCTACGACGCATTCGACAGCCTTACACTCAGTTAAGTGAGTTTAAGAGAGGTCGCATTGTTGGATTGAGAGGAAGATGGTCATACTGCCGGATTGGCCGCCATCTGAACCGTTCTGATAGAACTGTTAGGATGTGTTATGAGCAGTGGGTAAGTAGGGGTACACACGAACGGCAAACAAGTTCCGGACGCTATCGACAGACCACCAGAAGGGAGGATTGTCTCATTGTACGTCAAGCACGGACAGCGCCTACAGCTTCATCGTCTACCATTCATGCAGTAATGGCACCTGCATTACGGAACAGTGTATCCAGCCGCACCATTTCCAGGTGCTTAGTAGAAGGCGAATTGATCTCCCGACGCCCAGTATGTGTTCTACCGTTAACAGCCACCCACCGACGCCTCCGTCTGCAGTGGTGTCGTGCATGACAATCGTGGACCGCTACCGACTGGCAGCATATTGTGTTCAGCGACGAATCCTGCTTTTGTTTGGGGGCTCACGATGGCCGTGTGAGAGTATGGCAGCCCGCTGGTCAAGGTGTCAATCCGGCCTATACCGTGGAGCAGCACACGGGCCCAACCCCCAGTGTTATGGTGTGAAGAGCCATAACATACGACAGTAGGACACCTCTAGTTGTCATGCGTACTACCCTCACAGCCAAACGATATGTGCAATACATCCTCCAGCCACATGTGTTGCCCTCATGGCAGGGCTTCCGACAGGCATATTCCAGCAGGATAATGCCCGGCCACATACTGCAGCGGTCTCCCAAGCATGCCTACATAACGTTTCCACACTTCCTTGGCCTGCATGATCTCCAGATTTATCGTTAATCGAACATGTGTGGGACCACTTGGGTCGCCAGCTGCGACAGCCACAGGATCTGACTCATCTTGAGTCCCAATTGCATCATGCATGGACAGATATGCCTCAGAACATTATTCGCGATCTTTATGCCTCCATGCCAAGGCGTATCACAGCTTGTATCCGCGCTAGAGGCGGCCCAACAGGATATTAGTTCCTGCACTGTATTGCATATTACTGCACAATAAAGTATGTTTTTGTTTTATAGTTGCAATCATATATCTGTCTAGCAATGACGATGTCATATACCAATTTTTATTCAAATCCAACAAGTCCTTCATGGTGCGTTATTTTTTTTGTCGTCCAGTGTATATACTATTGATATATTTTGAAATTGAGAAATATTATTAGAGAAATTAAAATAGTAGTTATAAGTTTTATTTTAACAATCCATAAAATTAAATTTTTTCTAATTGAAACTGTCAATTTGTTTGTTAGAAAATTGTCTCCCATAAACTTCTATTTCACATAAATCAAAAAAAATACATACACTCCTCAAAAATGAAAATGCAACACCTTGAAGAAATACATGTAACCACATGCAAAGTGCAGGATCAATAGAGGTGACAGAAATATGCAAATGATTAAGTTTCAGTATGCATTGGGTCAGTTTTGGGATATAAAAACCAGCAACTGGCTTGGGCCATAAATGCTATCAATGACAGTTTGCAGTATCTGAACTTTTGAAGAAGCATAGAAAATGTCTCAGAGAAGACAGCAAGCTGAATACAACCAGTTAATAGCTGGGAAATGAGATTTACCCTGGAGATGTGCAGCCTTGATTTGTTGATGCACACAGTTGTCACACATGTTGAGCACGACATGAGTATCATCCAGCAATGTGTGACACGATGGATGCAGGAACATCTGCAAACACACTGAAGAGGAAGTAGATTGCACCAATGCAAGACAGAGTGGACAGATGAGCAGATTTGCAGAATGGCCCTTTGGAACCCTTTTGCCAAGGCATGTGACCTCCAAAACTGCATGTTGCCATCAATGGGTGCATGTGTGTCCACCCAAACCATTTGCAACAGATTGCACAAAGTCAGGCTACACACACTGCAACCAGCAATGGAGGTGCCATTAGCTGCTTGACAAGGCTCCACACCTGACATGGTGTTGTCACCATTGCAACTGGACCACTGAATGACAATGGGTATTTTGAATGAATCCAACTTCTGTCTGTGGAGGAATGGTGGATGTGGCGGTATCTTGGGGAATGCTATGTGCCAGCCCTTTTTGTCAAGTGTCACATCAAGCATCATGGTTTGGGAAAGCATCATGTTTGATCAGCAGACAGCCCTGGTGCGCATTTCTGTTATTTTGACAACAGACCAGTACATCACACGAATTGTGAGGCCTGTGGTTTGGCCATTGGTGCAGGCCACACCCAACACAGTGTTCCAACAAGACAATGCCTGATTGCATATTGGACGGCCAACTCTCACCACATGAATGGAATTCACATCCTTCCCTGTCCAGCAGCCTCGTCTCTTTCTCCCATCAAACACCTGTGGGGACCTTGCCACATACTGTAGACAACATGCATACCACAGTAGATGCAGCTTGGAAAGGGATACCTCAGGCAACTATTGATTGCCTCATTGATAGTATGCCTCACCATATAGTGGCCCATGGGATCATATTTGTTACTGAATAAACAGGCATCTGTTGTACATCTTTGTTTGTTCTTTTAATCATTTGCATATTTCTGTCACCTCTACTGGTCCTGCAATGTGTATGTGGCTATGCACATTCCTTTGTGGTGTTGCAATTTCACTTTTGAGGAATGTATTATCCCTTCTGAGGCATAAAAAGAATTTCTCGTTTTTCTACTTTTTGTGAAATACCTGTTTTTCCAAGACTTTCTTATTTTGAATATGATAGTTATATCTATTTTGTTTTTACTATTTTACTGAAGTATTATGAATGTAAATCAGAATTTTTGACTTAACTCTGATATGCTCTATTCTATTTCTTTATTTATTGTTAATAGTTTGTTGCTTGAAAGCTTTTATAGTTAATTTAGTCATTAATTAAAATCTATTTACTTTATATAAAAGTAGTCATAAACAATATATTTTTTATATCTATTATTTTTTTTATAAATGTATGTATTATATATATTGAAAACAGTTTGTGGAAAAATCTTTGAAGAAGTAACTCATGGAGCTGTATCTTCACCTGGTTATCCTGGAAATTACCCACATGACAGAGATTGTTATTGGGAACTCAGAGTACCATTGGGAAAGCGCATGTTAATTGTTTTTACAGAATTTAAATTGGAGCATCATGAAAATTGTTCCTTTGATTATCTAAAAGTAAAATATCTTTTATATATCAATACATAATTTTTATACATTTATAAATTGATATATGTTAAGTAATTAATATAATATTTTTGTTGTTTTGAAGATATATGATGGGTTATCAGATTCTGATCCAGAATTGGAAAAATTATGTACAACACTTACTCCAGCTCCTGTAAAAACATCTGGGCCTCATGCACTATTATATTTTCACACTGATGAGACTTTAAGTGATAAAGGTTTTCAACTAGCTTATACTGCTGTTGCTGGTAAGTTGTTTTTATATATCAACTAATGTGTTGTCTGATTTATTGTTTTATATGTTTCATTGTTTATAAGTGCAGTTTAGTTTGCTGATAACATATGACATTAATGTGTTTATCACATTTTTAATAAAAAGCTGAATGTTTTCAAGTTGAAAAGAACAATTTAGTTTAAATAATCAAACATCCTTACCACACCTGATATGTTTTAAAAGCTATACAACAACCAAAGCAGAATATTATCGGGCTTGAAACGGCTATAATACTAATAATTTAATAGCCAATTTGGCATTATAGCTAACACATTAGGCGTTAGCTCTAATGCCAAATTAGAGCTAACGAGTTAGGCGTTATGTGCCATCTTATCAAGGGATGGCACCTAACACCTAACTCTAATGCCAAATTGGCTATTAAATTATTAGTATTATAGCTGTTTCTAGCCTGATAATATTTGGCTTTGGTTGTTGTACAATTTAGTTTTTATTTATAATATTTGCTATTTTGTTATTAATTTGTTTATAATTTTAATATTTATAAATATTTTTAAAATAAAAATACAAAATATAACATTAAAACTAGTTTTAGTACTTTCAAATTTACATCCATCATCAGAAACACTCAAATGATCATACAATGCCATTGTTCCTGATGAAGGATGTTGGTCTGAAAGTAGTAGTTTTTTATGTTTTATTTGTATTTTATAAATTCCATAAAAAATAAATAGTGGAAAGAACAAATGCTAAAATGAAGATAGAAGTTAAACTTTTAACTCTTGGATTATTTGTTAAACTTTTGGGACATTTCCATCCCATCATCAGACCCACAAAGTTCAAATGAGAACATTTATAGGTTAGGTTAGTTTATTGAACATAATAGGCAGTCGCCTGTTACGAGGGAGTACATGACAATGATGTAAGATGGAAAATAAACATTTAATAACAAAATCAAACATATCTCCACTTTAGAATAACATATAGTGTTTAAGATTTTACATTTAACAGTCTTCTTACACCATTATAACAATTGTAAATTTCATTAGTGGTAGCTAGATTAAATTTATTGTACATATGATTGACAAAACTTTGGCTAATATTTTGATCTCCAGTGATCTCTGATTCTTGATCTTTATTAAGGTCACATCCATAAAATAAATGAAGCTTTGATAGTGTTTTAGCACAATTTGGACAAACGGAGCGTGCAAATTCCAAATATTTGCCTTCAAATATTAATCCATTTTGATTCAGTCTCATCTGAATAAAAAATTTTTTGACTTGAAAAGTTAGATTCCTAAAAATATAGTTGTTAATAAATGGATAATTAAAAAGGAAATTATAGTAATATTTATTACTTCTCTTACGAACATCTTCAATATCCTGAGTTATGGAACATTCTACAACTCTAAGCATTAATTGGTTAATATATTGATTATTATTTCTGAGATAATCAAAAACTAAATTGATGGAAAATCCATAGTCATTAAATATGTGAGACAATTGAGCAATCCAATTCCTATTTATATTTGTCTTCTGCAATCTTTTATGCAATAATAATACCAGATTATTAGATAAATCATCTGTATTAATTATCTTGTGTAACCATTTCAAGCAGGCTTTTAATAGGATTGTGTTTATTTTATATCTGTTAAATTCCAAACGAAGAATGCTTCCTGGCATATTAAACTCCAATTGATATAACTTGCGTATAAATAAATTTTGGATTTTTTCAAAGTTATTAAATTTATTGAGGCACCAGATTGGAGCAGCATATAACAAAGCATTTAATACTATAGAATTAAACAGTTTAAAATGTACCTTATTATTTCTTATTTTTGCTTTAGAGAACAAAATTATCAGATTATTTAGAAGATTTCTAGATTTAACTGTAATATATTTATAGTGTTTGTCAAAAGACAAATTGAAAGACCATATAAGTCCTAGAAATTTCTTTTCGTTGACAATATTTAATTTTACATCTTGAATACAGAAAGACATAACTTTTTTAGACAGTCTGTTTCCATTTCTGAAAATCATGACCTCAGATTTGTTAGGATTAATTTTAACCTTCAACTTATTTAGATATTCAGTTATTTGTAAAATTTTATGTCGAAGAGCAACCGCAGATGGAGCAACGATGACTATGTTGTCTGCATAGGATATTCATTGAATACAAATATTATCAATATAAATACCATCATTTTCATTCGTAAAACAATCGTTCAAATCATATAGAAAAAAATTGAACAAATAAGGAGAAAGAGGATCACCTTGTAATAATCCCCTGCCAGTTGAGAATGGATTTCCACATTTATTATTCTGTTTAATTATAATATTATAGTTGCCGTAAAGTTGACCAATAATACTTACTAAATGTTTGCAAGCCTTATGTTCAAGTAACTTATTCTGGAGCAATTTAATACATATTGAATCATATGCCTTTGATAAATCCAGAAAAATAGCAAAAACTTTATTTCTCTTTTTTAATAACTGCAATTGAATTAGTGACATTAAAACGAATAAGGCTTTCTGCGTGCCCCCATTAGCAACGTAAGCAAATTGAGTTCGATTATGTAGATTATTTATATTAGTCCATCTGTTCAATTTTTTGGCTAAAATAGCTGTGAAAATCTTTCTGAAATTTGACAATAACGCAATTGGATGATAGTTCGCAGGCTCATCTTTGTGACCTTTTTTATAAATCATAGATAAAATCACCTCATTCCAGATTAATGGAATTTCTCCACTAGAATAAATGTTGGTAAAGATTCTAGTCAGATACTGTACCAATTTGAAAGATAAAAGTTTGATTACAGAATTAGGAATGCCATCGGATCCAGGAGCCGATTTACTTTTTAATCTATTAATGCAATCTTGTGTGTCTTGAACTTCAAAGAATTCATTTTGATTTACATCAAAACCTATTGAATAATCAATGTGTATGTTTGCTTGATTACATGTATATTCATTCGAAAATTTCTGAAAATGACTCACCCAATCCTCATGACTGATAGTTCTTTGACTGGTATATCCTTGTCTTTTCTGCTGATAATCGTTAATGATTTTCCAAAAGGAGCTCGAATTCTTAACTTCCATTAATGTTTTGTTTAAATTTGCCAAATATCGTTTCTTTTTTGCTCTTATTAAGTTCGAGTAAATTTTCTTACTATTAATATACTTGTTCAAATCCTCAGACAAATTTGTCTTTCTAAAAGATTTTAAGCAACATTGTTTAATTAATTTATATCGATAACAACAGTTGTTGAACCAAGATTTTTTATATTTGGTATTTGTAGTCATACATCGATATTTTACCTGGCATTCCGATATTTTAGACATTAATCTCCGATAGTTTGAAATAGGATCATTATTTTTTTCTTGCATTAACAGATTTTCTGTTATGGATTCTGAAGAATTTAACCATTTCTGTAAGTTAAACCTTAGGTTATAGTTCTTTTTATTTTTTATTAGTTGAGCTTCTCTATAACATTTTATCATGGATTTATCATTTTGTATTATAAGCTGCAGAGGGAAGTGATCAGATGAATCCTCATTTAAAACTGTCAGGGACATACACTGATCAACCAAAACCTCAGAACATATCATGTAATCAATTATTGACTTACTATCATTGCATAAATAAGTAAATTCAGCCGGAACGTCGCCATTTAATCTGCCGTTTAGTATAAATAATTGATTTTCTTGCACGAAGTCCAATAATATTTTGCCTTCACAATTGAGCTTTTTGTCTTTGAATTTTCTTATGTTACTAATATTCTGAAAATTTTGGTAAAATTTAGTATCAATATTTTCACCAATGCGAGAATTGAAATCACCTCCAATAATCCAACTCTGAGTTAAACAAGTCCATCTGTTCATATGATGTTGAATTGCAGTGAGGATCGTCTTTTTATCATTAGAAGGTGCAAGATATGTGACTATAATTCCTAGGTCCATTAATCTCAGAATTTAATTTTTTGTTTAATTTAATTATAGCCACTATGTAATTCAACATAGTGTGTTGGTAAATGATTGATCCAAAAAACTTTTTCACCAAAAGTAAAATTCCACCAGAAGGACGGCCGTACTTACTTACTCTATGAGCTTCACTAAATACTATATAATTATCAGCTTCAAAATACTCTTTTTCCATTGAATTAAGTTCCCTTAACCAAGTCTCAGTAAATCCGACTATCACTTTTAAATTTATAAATGATTTCGCTTTGAGCACATGTAACTTAGTTTTCAAACCTTGACAATTCCAAAATGTGATTGAAGTTTTAATATATTTCATATATTTTATATCTTCACTGTGATTGTTACTATCAAGATTGTAATCATCGGCATCATCGTTATTTTTTTTGAGTGTTGACCAAATGTTATCACCAATGTTATATTGTTTATTACACATATCGGTTGTTTTGTGCATAGAATCTAGTCTGCATGATATAAAAAATGGTCGATTGGAATAATTTTGTTAGTATCCATGCCCAAAGAGTATTTGAGATTATTTTTAATAAAATAATCATCCCTCACAATTAATTTAGTTTCAGCAACAAATTCTGTCTTGATTTTCTTAATCAAATTTTTCCTTCTAATTCTGGATCTACAGTAGAACCCCTCTAATCCGTCACCTTTGGGACTGGGGGTATGGTCGGAACGCAAAAATGGTCGAATTATCAGAAAAAAGTAAAATAAACAATCTTCCCCTTTGTCCAGTCTTTGTAGCACTGCTAATTTTTCATTTAATGAAAGAGTAATGTGTTTACGTTTCACTCCTGACATGTTGAAAACACACACAAAACTGTACATGTACACACAATGTAAAACATATACTGTAACGAACACAGAAAAACGCTATGGACGGTGAGTCACCGACGAGTCAGGACAAGTTTCTCGACTCCGACCACGGTCGGATTAACCGGAGTGACGGACTAGCCGAGGGCGGACTAGAGGGGTTCTACTGTATAACATAAATTTGACTTCATAATAATATTAGCAGTTTCATTAGCA